GCACACTCCCTGCTTTTGCTACCCGTGACCCCCGGTGGCACCCACCCACCCCACCCATCTCTGGATGGGCGCTGCGTAACCCGCTTCACGGGCGTAGCCCTCTGCGGGCCGTGGAGGTGTGCGTGGTGGCACACCGTGGACGTAATGTGCCGAGGTGTTCTTTGCACCAGTGAAAATACCTGCATCCGAACTGTGTAAATCGTGCTGCATGGGTTGCCCTCGGACTAAGTGCCGAATTTGGTGTCCCAACTTTTCTCGGAGGCACGAACTGAATTTATGTTATTCCTTTGGTCCAGGTGGAGATCTTGCAACCCAAAGAAGATGTCAAGACGCAGGTAAACTGTCAGCGTCGTAACATACCGAGCTGATCTGAATCTGTTTAGACTGCCGTTCTCCTGACGTTGCGTGTCTTTTTGCCCTTTGCAGTAGCCGTTTGCAAGCCAAGCAGCAGCAGCCGCTGTCATGTCAGGAAGAGTCTCCAGAAGAACTGCAGGCACCAGAACACCTCCAGACCAGAAAAAGGAGGACAGCAGAGGTAACCAGTTTGGAAGCACTGAAAAAATAATTTTGCAAGCTTGCCAGTGCCCTTGAGTGGGGGAGTCTTCCCTCTACTGAGTTCTAACTTTCCAAAGCGGGACAGGAACGCTGACCGTTCGCTTTAGCTGTAGAGGTGGGTGTGCTGATTGGTATGTCTGTCTATTGACACGCATCTCTTCTCTCAGCAGGAGATAAAGAAAAGAGAAGATGGAAAAATTGCTAAAAAACATCAATATGAGATTAAGGTAATTCAATCCTGAATACCAAATTAGGTGAGGGAGTTCCTCTGGTTTATACTGCTGGGTGTGCGGCATTCCACACCAGGAAGTATTGGATAGGGAAAGCTTCTACCTTCCAGAGGTAGAAAGTATAGGTGCTTTACACCTTTAGCTTCTCTTTATTTGTTTCTGCTTTTTATGCCCAGTTTTATTGTAGATAGAGGAGGGTCCTTCAATGTGGAAGCTGCTGCAGAGAAAGGTTAGGTGTAAAAGTTAGAATGAAACCAGATATGGCAGAATAATACCATATGCAAATCAAGTAAGGCCTAGAGGCAAGTCTAAACAGGACCATTGCACTTGTTTAACTTAACTAAATGGGCTTGAAGCCACACCTTAATACTCACAACCATGTGGATGCTCTTTACTTTCATTTAACAATTTTTAAAGTTATTTAAATCAATTTAGGAATCTGCTACAACTTGAAATAGGCCACTCTTAAACCAAAGGAGGAGGGTTACAGTACTTTAAAACAAAGTGAATTAGTAATATAATGTCCTCTTGCAAACAATCTCACTTGCAGTTATGCTGTTGATCTCTTCTTTAACCAAATAAGACTAATAGCTAACTGTAGTGAAGGAAATCTGTGTAGTTAAGCTCTTCTGATTGTGAAGTTTTCCTTGAAAGTTTTGGTGGGAAAGCACTACCCGAGTTTGTAAATTGTACTTGGGATGAAATCGCATGGCGTGACTCACCTTTGCAGAAAGGGTGAAGTCCTGCTCACCTCATCTCCTACTCCTTGGTGGCCAGCCATTCACTCCTTTCCCTGCCTTGCCCTCATTTTTGGTGCTCTTTAAGTGATGCAATATGCAGGTTCAATCTGGATAATTTGGCATTAAAAAGTGAGTGATGTTCTACCAGGTTAGTGAGCTGAATCAACCTAGCAGAGTGTCTGGCAAGCATCAAAGCTGATTAAAAAGGAAGGAGTGAGACCTGTGTAGTAAGGATCAAAGGACAGAAGAAGCAGCAGGATCTCCATTTTTCTGGTGGCAGTGTGCTCTTAGATCAGCTCGGCTAGACTATGTAACTTCATCCTTGGGTACTTTAATTTAGCCAAAGAGGTTTGGATGTACTAAGGAGATCATACATAGTTTACTTTTTTGCAAACACAGCTCTGTAGGAAAAGCTGTTGTGTACAGGGGCAGGTGTTCCCACCCTTTGTGAATAGGATCCTACCTAATTCAGCAGAATGTAATTTATGTTCTGTGTCACCATTTTAAAGGCTGTCAGCCATTACAGCATAACATATGCTCCACGCGTTTGACGTGCATAATCAATACAAATGAGAAGACAACCAAAGAAGAAAGTGAAACAAGTTAGAGAGTTAACTAAAGTAATTTGGAATTCCTCCTTTGAAGTTCTCTGCATGAATAACTTTGGGCTCGTCTCCTTTTGAGTCATTGCATCCCATATTTGGCCTCGGCAGGCTGAGATAGATAGTTCACAGCTGCTGCTCACTCAGTGAGTATCTAGCTCTGGAGCTGAGATGGGTGGTTCCTCCCTGGAGTACTTAATTGGAAGATAACGAGTTGCTGAATTTCCACTGAGAGACAGTAGACTCTCCACCCCCTCCTTTCTTTTCCCGCTGGGTGAATAAGTAGATAGTAGGACCAGCAAGCTAATGAACCAAACGTCCTATTCTCTAGTAGCAATGAGTGCCTCTTCCTTATGTACTGTAACTGAGCAGCTCTAGCAATGGGTTGACTCTGCATGGGTTCACAAACTCATGCGTAATCTCTTCCTCGAAGCTGAATTCCCTGAACTTGTCAAAAGCATATGTTCAGGTTCTGCCTCTTGGATACAAAAGGCTTTGCTAGCATTTAATCTTTCACTTCACCTGTGCTTCTAAATCAATGCTCAAGTCCAAAAAGGCTGATGCACGATACATGTATTGTTGTTGTTACTATAATCTAGATCTCGCCCCTTTTGCTATTGTAGTAAAATCAACATTTAAAAGATAACTGATAACTTGTTTCTGTTGTAGAGCTGTTGGCCGCCCACGATAACAGGAGGCGTCTCGCCTTGCATAATTATTGAAACACCTCATAAGGAATCTGTAACCACTGACTTCTCCAGATTCAAAAAATACAGGTTCAGAAACCTCTTCATAAATCCATCACCTTTGCCTGAACTCAAGTAAGTTTTCCGGATGTTCCAGTTTTGATATTTTATCAAGTATGTTGAATTACCATAGCAGAATCTGTTGTATAGCGTTCACATAACAGTGGGCAGTAATCAGCCCGTTCCTCTGCTTGTCTCCTTGTCCCACAAACAATTCAATGCTTGCCCAAAAAAGACAAATTCTACTCTTTCCAGTGCATTTTTAAAAGCAGTGAGAGAGAATTTTCCTCTTTTCAGAGCCATCCTCTTGTAACTTAGCACTGAGGGCCAGTCTTAAAATTCGTGAACATAGTGGGTTAGAACTAAGCTTCCTTGAGTGCTGAGTGAAAAACAGGCCAAAGTACTAAGCTATGTTTTCTTTAAGAACTGAAATACACAAGTAACCGGTGGTGCTATCACTCTGCAGGTAGCTTACTAATGCAATGCCGATATGTTTGGTGCAGTTGCAGTTCTAGTCTTTTTAGTCCAGCGGGCGGCACTGCAGAGGCAACATGTTTTATGAAGATACTGCTGAAGAGGAAAGGATAATCACACTGTAGAGCAGACTTTTCTTGCAAATCTTTAATGTTGGTAGGCTAACTGTACTGAAGGAAACAGCTTTCCTCCTGCAGAGGGATAGACTAGATAACTAAATAGGATTCTACAACTCTTGAATGTTTTGGACGTTCAGCTGTGTTAGTATCTTGGTTGCCGTTTGTTTCAACGTAATGTTTAATGAAACAAAAATGTTTGTTGTGGATATGAATGAAATTGTGGCAACTTTGTGGAGAACTGCTGAGGTGAATGGGGAAAGCAACAGAACCTGAAGCCCTGTTTTTATTTGGTGACGCTTCTTGCCCCTGTGCAAAGCAGTAGGTCTCTTATACTCTCTGTCACTGAGTTGCAAACTTGAGTGTTCTCTCTCAGTGTTACTCCCAAACCTGCTATATGTTGCTGAACTGTACTACCTTTTAAATCGCATTTTAAAGTGTTGGAAAGCTGAGACCAAAATAGTAAAAAATGTGGTGGCTAGGAGAATCCCATGTACTGCTTTAGGAAGCTATTGCAAACTGTTGGATCCCAAAGATATGTCCGGATACAGAATTCCATACACAGGGTCGCATCATCCCTATTTACCCCTTGTTGGTAGGCATATGTTAAAGCTGAGCTTCATCTTTTCCAATTAGCCAAATGAGGGGGTCATTTACTCTCCTGCCTTCTGCGTGCTTTCCTAGCTGCTGCAGGCAGATCGTGATAGAGGATTTCTTGATGCCTGCCTGCTTTTGATGGAGAGACTTGTGTATTCAACAAGAAAGTATTTCTGCAGCGTTTGTTTGTTTACAATGGCAGTAAAGCGGGATTGATTTGAGTTGGAACTTGTGGGGCAATGTGACAGTTTGTTAATTTCTCTCTGCTTTTACTTGGGGAAAAGTAAATATTTAAGTCCAAAAATAACAATAGGAAATCAACATTACACTGAATAACGTGCTGTTCTCCTTAGTAACTGTAGGATGAGAAGTATAGTTAAGAAAAAAACCGCACCAATCCATAATGACCGTAACTCCAAATTAAAACCACACCACAGTAGTGATATAGGCATCCCCTTTCTCTTTCCCAAGTAGACTTCAGTGCTAATAAATCATAGGTTAGCAATAAACAAGAACTCAATTTTTGTCATAATAGCGTGTTTCTGAACCTTAAGGTAGACTAGGAAAGGAAAGATGAGTAACTGTTTTTCTTGCACTGAAGTGGGCTATGTGTTTTTTAGGGGGGAGGGGTGTTGGAGGCATTTTGTTTTTTACCTTACACCCTAGAAAGCCAAATTTTAAAATGGCTGCCTGCACTTTGTGTGTTAATGGCCACATAACTGGCAAAATAGGAAATTCTGGTTGTATGTGCAACTTTTTGATGTATATGCTGAGTTTTATTGGCTGTTCTTTAAAAACTGGACTGGTGGATAATCTTGGCAAGCTGCTGTTGTGGTGATGTAAAGCATTGAAAGTATGCCTGCAGTTTTCTAATTACTAAAAGGATTTTTTGGTGTGCAGAATTCTTTTTCTTTTTGTTCCTGAATATCTGTAAACAATAAATAATGTTTTTATACCCTTTGTGAAGGTGTAAATATACTTACAATGCTTTGTGCAACTTCATTCCGTAGCTGGGGAAATTCCAAAGATGTCTGGCTCAACATCCTGAAAAAGGAGAACAGATACGCTCATTGCAAGCATTTCACATCGCTGCATTCTAGCTTGCAACCGCACATGAGATCAATACTGCTAGACTGGCTCCTAGAGGTGTGTCTTTTAAGTTGCTTTACTGTGTGTTATGCCTATGAAGTTGGCAGATAAAAGCAAAGTTCTTACATAAAAGATCTAATAGCAAAATATACTGTAATTGTAATGGCAAAAACAGTTTGCAACAAAAGGGTTACAAGTTACTACTCTTGATCCTCTTGGTGAGTTACATTCAGCTTTTCCTGGCAGGAGATGTTGAACCTTCCAGGCAGGGCAGCAAGTAAGTTCTAAATTTTTGTTCTTTATAATATTGTCTAGCTTACTGGGAAGAAGAGAAATAAAATTAAATCTGATTTCAAAGACAATGTGCTGAAATTGCCAAAGTGAGATTATTTATGGGACTTTAACCGTGTTAGAATGTATCCCGTTCTTGAGACAACTGCACCTGGTTTGGGGACTTGAGCTATCGCTCTGGCCCTGTCTGTATCAAGAGCCTTTAGGTGTCAGCCACTGACGCTATTCTTTTCTGACTTAATAGTAGATCTTTATTTGTATCTTGTGAAGAGCAGAAACAAGCGCTGCATTAGTGGCAAACATCTAAAAGCTCTTGATGTAAACAGGTCCTTCTTTGAAAAGGATTACAAATAAACCATACCCATGCTGCTGTTTAATTACTGTACTTTGGCTGTGTTTGGAAACTAGAATAGTTTGAAGTTCTCAATCTGGCAGCCAACCCTATATGAGAGAATATTAATGTTCTAAACAGAGAGCTATGTTCTAAACAGAGAGCTATGTTCTAGAGTCATTTCCAAGAACTTTGTATTGAGGATACTTAATTGCTGCTGCCAAAAGCGACCTTTGAATCATGCAGTCCTTGCCCATCTGCAGAGGGGATCTTGCAGAGTTTATCAAGTCCATGTCAAGTACTCCATGGAAGCAAATGTTATACTGGCAGTCATGCTTTGGCTGTATTGGTGGAACAGGACTAACAACAGGGAGCTTCAAAAAGCTTCAAAGGAAAGTGTGTGTGTGTGTGTGTTTGTTTCTTTAAACACAAACTGAATATTAAAGTGATTCAAATAGTGATACTTCACTAATTCTTTTAATATCTAACTTGCTTACCACCTTTGAATTGGGCACATATATATATTTTTAATCTGGACTACTGTTAGGAAGTCATCCAGCTTCCAAACAAAAACATCAAAATGGATATCGTTATCGTAACAGTATATGCCACAGCAGAATAAAATCATAGCAACTTCAAGAATCCTCCAGTAGCTCTTAATTTTGTCTTCTGTGACTTCATAACTAATGTTTAATGTTTTACTATACATGACCAGGCATCATTATTTACATTTGGCACATACAACTTTATTAAAACTATACTTGTTCATTCTTTGAATCTAGTCCCTGCATTTTTTTTTAAGCTCTGAGTCTTATTTGGAGCAATTGTTAATCATGTCATGTTAGCACATTAGTTGACATATATTGGGTCAGCTCTGAAAGAATGAGCTGTGACGTTATTGTTACAGCTAGTTACATTTTTCGAGCACCAGGAAGGGATGTAACCCACAAATGGGCTTTCGGCCTTCTCTTATGAAATAGCTGGAAGTAGTGATGTGATTCTGACTTTGCATGCAAGGGGAATAATGAAGTGGAGCAGGAAACTCAGACCTACTTGGGAACTACTTATTGGATGTTTTTTCCCTATTGACTCTTAAGTAGATTTAAAGTAATTTATAGATACCTAACTTTTACTTGTGGAAGAGATACAAAGTCACTGATAAGCTAGAGCTGTGGAAGGTCTGCCCAAATTCAGTTAGAGAGGAGAAAGTAGGGCTCCTGTATAAGATTCCCAGGTCAGGGACGTCTCCTTTCCTTTTTTTGCTGAACTGCACTGGAACCACTTTGATTCTATGCAAGTCCTTTTTTTAACTCCTTGCCAAGGAAACCTGCAGCTGGAGGTAAATGGCTGTTCTTACAATTTTATTCCTCCTGGTAGCATGCAGCGAGGCCGCTAGTGTTTCGAAGCGGCCGTAGGCAGTGTTCCTGTCTTGCCAGCCGAGCACATAAGGGCAAGAGGTTCCGGGCTTACTTTCTTTAGAGTCAAAGATGTCAAGTCGTCCAGGGGGTTTGCCCTGGGATAGGCCTGCTAGGAATATGGGAAGGATACAGCTTGAAGTTTGAGCCTGAGGTATTTTTGATGAATCAAGTGAGTGCTTGACTTGCTTTTATTTTTATGAGGCTTTCTTTTTTGTTGGAGAACTTCTGGCAAATTATTTGTACTTGTTTTTAAGTAAACTGGATGATATTTAGATTCTCTGTGCCCTTGGAAATGTGCACTTTGGAAATATGTTACCGCATCATGGATAGTGGGTGTTTAGGTGGGAGTGTGGAAAATATTTCTCCTAGTTCCATATTGTTCATTGTCACCTAACAACCTATATGGTTTATATCTGTGCAAAAGATAAAATGGTGTATATAGTGATTTGCTGCTAAAACTTGAATACTCCAATGTGCCTATGTCGATTTTTGTAATGGAATACAGAATAGATTCTTTTTCTCCTGTTTTAGGTATGTGAGGTGTATGCACTCCACAGGGAAACCTTCTACCTAGCTCAAGACTTTTTTGATAGATTCATGTTGACACAAAAGAACATTAACAAGAGCATGCTTCAGCTCATAGGAATTACCTCATTGTTCATTGCCTCCAAACTTGAGGTAAGAAGCCCTGTTACAGGGAGGAAGATATTACATTTGGAATAACTAAAATTTGTTTCTTTTGTATGAGTCTTTTGAACTTGATGCTGCACATATATAACACTGAAGGTCAGAAGGGGAAATTTTTGCCTTTTCCTTCAGCAAAGCAGTGGTTCATGTGTCAATCTCTTGGACTGTAGTCTTTGTCTTCCTTTCCTCAGCAGCAGGGAAGGAGACCACAAACTTAAAAGGTATGTGAATGTGCTAGGAGTGGTTTTACTTTGTCTTTTTCCAAATATACAGCAATTAGCAAACAACTTCAGGAATGGGTGTGGGACTTAAACAAAACCAAGCCTAAGTCTCAAACTGCCTGTACAACAATGTGATATGCCTCTAAACCAGGTTAGTGGGGTGGTCGTCTTTGAAAGGTAATGAAATCAATGCACTGGTGGTGATGCATGGCATTGCACGCTAGTTACGAGCCAACAGCGTATTTTCGTGTCTCCTCTGAATACGCTATAGTGCGTGACAGGCTAAACTGAGATGAAAATTTAGGATATGAATTCTTAATGCTTGCAAAACCCCTGACCTAGCTGGTGCGCCAAAAGCAAGGTGTTGACCCTATAAGCATGTGTCTATCCTAAGGAAGCGTATGTGCCATTAGCGTGTACGTGTTAGCACAGCCTGGCTGCGGAGCCAGCTGGGGCAGAAGCAGTTCTAGTGGCAAGGTGGCTTTTCTGCCGACATACTTACCTAAATGTGGCCTGAACTGGCATGAACTAGCTCAGCAAAAATTTCTTGTTAACTGTCTATGCACCATGGCTTGGCAAGCTACAGTGGGATTTTTCTCCCATCTTTTTCCAGCTATTTTTATCTGTGGAATTATGCTAGCACTAACTGACATTGTGCCTAAATTTGTATTAGCAAGCCTTTTCTAATGCAGCAAAGTGCTCAAAGAATGGAATCGTGTATGTTCTTACATCAGATAGAATGGCTGAGTAGAAGGCAAAATAAGTGAAAAGCTGTTCTGACTGTTTGGTCAGCGTTTATTTCCCCAACAGCTAAATTGGTTGCAGTAAATCTGTCATCTGTTATACAACAGATAACATAGTCGTCTACTTTTCAGTATCTCCTATCCTGTAAGCTTTCAAGTCACTGCATATAACCAGGAAAATGCTGTTCTAGCATGAGAAATGTTATGGACTAGAAGTATTTACTGATATCTTTTCAAGCTTTCCTGGAATCCTAAGCCACTCTGATCTTGACTTTTTTTTTTTCCCCACTTCTCTCTTGAAAGGAAATCTACGCTCCTAAAATTCAAGAATTTGCTTATGTCACTGATGGTGCTTGCAGTGAAGATGATATAATAAGAATGGAACTTATTATGTTAAAGGTAATAACTTCACTATTCTTATAAGGACTGGCTGGATGAGTGTCCGGTTGAGCCTTGTGTTTTAATGCAATTTACTTGCTCACAGATGGAACATCTCTAGTAATGTCCCTCTTTCTGCAAAACAATGAAACCTTCTTGTTCATTGTGTAAACAGCCTAAAGGCTGTGGTTGGGCTGAAGTCCCCATTTGTGATCTGCTAGAAAAAGAAAAGTTTCTCATGCTTGTACGGAAAGGAAGGCTCTTGGCAAGTAAAGCTAGCTACAGGATAAACCAGAAGGCTGTTACTGAAATGTACTGCGCTGGCTAAGGTCCGGTCCCTCACTGTCCATGAGCTGGAGCCTCTTGAAGAATTAGGCAAAGAAGTGGCACATACAACTCAACACTCCTCATATTGGAAAGGATCTATTTTTACTGTTGCAGAATTCTTTTATGCACTTTTTCTTCCTTAGCCAGTAGATGCTAGCTGCAGGTTCACGCATTTTGAGGGAAACATTCTACTTTGCCAATTTCTGAATGGGAAAGAGAGGCGAGATTCAACTGTGTGGGTATAGTAAAAGGATTGAGATAAACGTGCTTTTGTGCTGATTGTAATCCAGCCTTTTCAAAAAGTAGTAAGAATGTAATCTAAAAAGAGTATTTGTACTTGAAATTGTAGGGACTCTTTAATATCTTTCAAGAACCTGTGGATAAGATGTGCTAACTCAGGAGGGGAGGTCTGAGAAAAGAGATCAGAGCACAAAAGTAACTTTGCATGGTTTAAGGTACTTAAATGTTTAATGTTTACAGGCTTTAAAATGGGAACTGTGTCCAGTGACAATAATCTCTTGGCTGAACCTTTATCTTCAAGTGGATGCTCTGAAGGATGTTCCAAAAGTGCTGCTACCTCAGTATTCTCAGGAAAAATTCATTCAGATAGCACAGGTAGGTCGTAAGCTGTATAGGAATACACCATTTCGGAGCAATTACAAGCACAACTGTATGCATTATAGTCAGAAAGGCTTTAAAGAATGCTTTTCCTTGTTTCACCTCATCTATTACTTTGTAAAGGAATATGCAAATTTAACCCTCTCAGAGAACTTTATACTGAAGCTTTGAGGAGAAGTACCCATGTGTATTTTGCTTGCCTGCTCTCAGCTATTTTAAGACTGCACTGGACAAACACAAATCTAGCCACTACGCGCTACAGTTCTGCAAACAACAGGCAGTAGCAACAGCTCTTGAGAGTAGGGTGATAACATAAGACTGTTTACGGACAGGTAATGGTGTATATCTGTATTATCTGTAACAATGTTCTTGTATGTTTGTCCAGAACACAGTCTGAGAAGCGCTTGATTCTATCTTGAAACTAGAGCAGTTCAATTATTGCAGAAGTGTCTTGTGTCGAGCCTCAGAAAGTCTAAAGAGAAGACTGGTCTAATTCATTGAGCTCTTAAGTATTTTTATTTATAAGACCTTTCCAGAGCTCTGCTAAGAGCTTAAAGGTGTACTTAAGTTTGCACAGGCAAATTGTTCTGCATGTTACTGGTAGAAGAGCAAACTGTTTTGCATCATAAATCTGTGAGACCAGCTTTAACTGAAATTGGTGCCAAAGATAAACTAGATGCATTTGACTGACTGTAAAAAGTACAGCCATGTGGGTGCTACAGGCTATATAGTCTGTAAGAGGACTAGTGTATGCATAGCATTTTCTCAGGCAAGATTATACTAAAGTATCTTCTTGTTAAAATTTGTAACTTGTTTCCTCAACTCTTTTATTTCCTCAGCTCTTAGACCTGTGTATTCTGGATGTGAATTCTTTGGACTTCCAGTATAGAACACTAGCTGCTGCTGCACTCTGCCACTATACCTCAACCGAAGTAGTTAAGAAAGCTTCAGGTAAGAGTGGAAGGTTTTGAAGGTCTTGGCATTGTTAGGCAGTGACTTCTGAAAGTTGTTATGGGCCTGAAACTGCTAAGAGCGTATTGGTTTATCAGGCTGCAAAGGAACAAAAACTACATGGACATTAAGTTTGTTCTTCTGTTTTGTGGGTTTTCCTAGTTTCACTTCCTTCCTACTGCTGTTTCAAATATTATGAAGACTTGAAAAAGAAGGAAATACTTTTAGAAGCATAAACCTTATCTAGAGGAACCAAGCACGTTCTTGCCTTTTGCTTTTGGGCTAATGCTCCTGCCCTATGAATTCCAGTTGTTCTGGGGATCATTAGCAGTTCATTATTTGGCTCCTTTTCTTCCTGAAGTGGTGTTTGCAGCCAGTCCTCCTTGGTCCTAATTCCTACAAGCCTGTCCCTTAGAGCAGAATCATGTAACTAAATTCAGCACTTGTGCATTGCTCAAGATAAACTTGTAAAATTGTACATTATGCTGCAGTCTTTTAGTGTGCATCTAAATCTAGGAATTAAATTGGGTAAGAATTCACTGTAGG